GCGCTGGGGTTTGTCCTTGTGCCTTTTAGTGCTTTGTAATGTCTTAACATTTGACACATCACTTGGATTTTCATTCCATTCCATCCATAGCATTCATCCTCATCCACATCCTCATCCACATCCACATCCTTCATTCTCCCACTCCATCGAACATATCGTCTCGAGCATCCCATGCCATGCCATCCATCCACTAAGGATATTGCTCGTTAGTTAGGGTTTCTAATAAATTTGTGCAACACATTTCTTTCCTTCTTTTCGGGACTTCTTGTGGGGGGGTGTTAGGGTTCCGGGGTATCCAGGGGTATCCAGGGGTTCCAGGGGTTCGGTGTTCTCTGTCGTCGCTTGTTACATTTTTATTTGATAACATATTGCATTTGCCCTTTTCTCGAAATCTTTTTTCCTTTTTCGCCCCCCCAAGTTCCGTTCTCTGTTCTTCGTCTTCGTTGTTCTTGCCTTCGGTTTGGCTTTGCTCTCTAAAATATTGGATTGGTGGCAACTGGAGCACTGGCGGCCCCGGCAGTGATTTATGGCGTCTGTGCTGGTCATTCAACTGCATTTGATTTAGGTTGTAAATTGTTGTATATTGCTGCGGCGGCCATTGCCAGCCAGCTTTCAGCTTCCTGCTTGCTTATGTTGCTGCTCCGTCGCTAATGAATTTATTGCAATTTTTGTGTGTGGCTGAAATTGAAAAATTTATGATTTACCACTTTGTTGTGAGGCGCTAAAAATGTATTCAAATTTTTGTTTTGGGGTATTCAATTTAAGGCATTAATTGGGTGTAAGATTCCAGCAATGAAAGAACTTAATTTAACACTCCTTAGCTCTCAGCTCAGCTGCCAGTAAATGCCTGAGTTTGATCTAAAAATTAATTAATGATTGCTGATTGCTCTAGCATTAAAAGTGTGCTAAAGCCAGGTGTTCAAATAGCCAACTGATAGATAAATTCGTAATTTATGGTTATAATAATGATCCGATTGGTTTTCTTTTCTTTAAGCTAGCAGATATAATTTTTCGCTATGATTCTGCATATACAGATAGATTTTTTTCTGCATGACAATAATTTCTTCCCACATTAATCCCCCAACCCCCCCTTCAGTTTCCACACATTGCCAACATTTTCATGATAAATCCCTAGCTCTAGTGTCATCCGTTAAGAAACCCTCTATTTTCGCAGACATCCAAAAGACAATAAATCTAGTAGATTTCTACAAAGTCACTCAGCGATCATTAGCAGCGAACAACAACAGCAACAACAACAACAAAAGTTTCTTTCTTTATATTTCCTGAACTTGACTCAATTTTTCACAAAATTTGTGTTGTTGTTGTTGCGGTCATCAGCGAAGGTGTGAGTCATCTATGACAGGCGTAGGGATTATCCTTGGCAAAAAAAAAAAAAAGCGAAAGTGATAAACGAGAGCGAAAGAAGAGAAATGCCAAAGAGCCCCTGACACTTGGACGTGAGCACACAAATAACACTTAACACAATGGCAAACAAACTTTTCGACTAATGACAGTCCAAGTAGCAAACAATTTATCGAATGCCAGAAAAGGAGCAGCCAGCCAGCCAGCTAGCAGCCACCCAAGCTACACTCTCTCCTACAGAGAAGAGTTCCTTTTGCCAAGTCATTAATCTTGTTTCGCTTTGGTCGATAGAGAGACGGAGAGAGCGAGAGAGAGAGAGAGAGAGAGAGAGAGAGAGAGAGAGAGAGAGGGAGTGTGTAAGTCAGCAGAAGTTCCCAATACCAATTCCCGACCATGTCGTCGTTATCCTTTCAAGCGTGAACACATGCGATTACGTCTTGGTTGTGTTGGTGTGTGTGTTTGTGTGTCTGTGTCCTTGTTGCCAGTTTCCGCATTTTCCTGCGCCAGGCAGGCTGCCATGATTAAGTGCCATTTTGAAAAGTACTAAAATCCTGTTGGTCATGGCCTCTCTGGACCTCCACCTCACCTCGACGCCACCCTGGCAATGTCAAAGTGTCAATGATATATGTTATACGCTTCGATAAGACGCCCAAACGCCGCCACCCACCCATCCAGCCACCCATCCAGCCACCCAACCACCCATTCAACCGCTCTGTAGACAGACGTTGGTGCTGCGTGGTGATGCCTGGAAAGGTATGTATATCCATGGAGGTGGAGGTGGAGGTGGAGGTGGCGGCTCTCGACAAAATATGTTGCACGTGAACACAAAAGCCTGGCTGCTGGAATCAGTGCACGTTCACACAATAACATAATAGTTGGTCATATATATTGTTGATTTTCCACTTCCGAAACTCTCACACCCCCAGCTGGCAGTGGCAGTGGTAATTTTTCTTACATTTTCTTGCCTGTGTGAAATATTATTTGCCCATGACATGACATAATCTCAACATTGCTTTCCCCATACACCTACAAATATATTTTGGTAACAGCTTTTATTGGAATTTAAAGAATAATCTAGACAATTTTAAAGCGCCTTCTAAAAAGAAACAAACCGCAAGATTATAATAAATCTTAGTCTGAATTTTAAATACATTTTAGGTAGACAATAAATCCACTGCGGCACCTGTTTTATTCCTTCTCTTTTAATTTGCTAAATGCAGAGAATTTTTATACAGCCGATTGATTAACTTATTCACTTTTAATTTGCTTCATAAATTTATTTTGTTTTTTCCTTTCGTTTTTTTTTTGTATGAGAATCGATTTGTTAATCAATTAATGATGGAATGTTTTGGGTTCTTAGCATTTTGTAATCACTTAAGCGATATCAATCAGAGTCAGGTGTCTGCAGTTCGGAGCATAAATTACGAAATATATTGAAATATTTATCAATCGAAATTTCAAGTATATTTTAAGGTATGAATCATGCTCTTTTGGGGGCATTTCGAGAAGCTTTTTTTGATCGAGTGTTTAATGGAATATGTCTGGCAGAGTGAAGGCTTTGATTTGTATTTATTGTACTCTGGTAATTAGATAATATATCTTGCAGATAACTTGTTGAAAGCAGGCTTAATTTTCCCTAAAAAATACGCTGTAATTATTTAGTTCTTCATAAATTTGTTTCTCCCAAACAAAATATAAATATATAACGAAAGATTTTATGTGTTGTAAAGAATAATTTATCCAAATTTGCTTTCAATTCGTGTAATAGTTTTGTTAAATTTCTCTCTCCGATTTTTGTAGTTCCCCTTTTATTTTTTTTTTTTTTTGAGCAAACGATCTTCGTTGATCTTCAGGGGCTCTAGCGGCAATTTACCCAACGCAAAATCTCTCAAGTAGGCGCGAAATTGATCGTAAACAGTGCTCATTCCCACCCATTCCCAAACAATTTCCAAGTACTCTCGATATGATCGAAATGCCGCGGCCAACAGGCGAGGCAACAAGACTGATCTGCGTTGATTATAGATGTATATGCATTGGGCCAGATTGGGCCGAAAAGATCCCGAAAAGAAAGAAAAAAGAGTGCGAGAGTGCGAGAGAAAAGGCAACCCAACCGGAAAAAATCAAAGGCAAAACAATGATCAAAGCTGTCATTACAGATCGAGGGGCGGTCTTTGATCTTGCACCGCAATGTGGCATACTACAGACAGTTCGTGCAGGGAATGGGAAACGGAATCGGAATCGGTTATTCGGGTTGCCGTAGGATTTTATGTTTTGTTTTTTATTTGATTTTCACTTTGTTCTATCAATCAGCGCCTACTACTTTGCGACGCAGCCCGCTCAGCATGGAGGATCCGATCGGATCGGTTCGGATCGTGGGTCGGGGGGTCGGCTGCGATCCGTACTTTTTGTGGTTATAAAATGATCTTGGGAAGATGTGCCATGGGTATGCCGGGGTATGCGTGTGTTTTTCTTACTTTTCACGTAATAAAAACACATTAACAACAACAGCAACAACAGCAATACGTTAATTTCGTTTAAAAATAAAATAGACGAAATAATTGCTGCTGCCGCTCCTCCTTCCCCATCACATCCCATCCATCGATCCGCTTGATGGGGGTGAAAAATTGCATTTGATGGATGACTTTGGGGGAGAGGAAGTCGTCTCTTCGCGCGTCTATTGAGCAAGTTGTTGGATGGTTTTGTTTTTTGTTTTTTGGCTTTTGCTTTTGCTCTTTGCTGGTGTAATTTCGTTTGTTATTTGGAATTTGTTGTACATTAAAGCATTTTGTGGATTTCCTGGAATTTATGCGGAATTTATCTTTTGTTGCTCTCTGGGGCTTAGTTTTTTTCTATTTCTTTTCCTTGCCGTAGGTTTTCATCGTTGCTGCCTAATTTGTTCGATTGTGATTGATCTTTGACTGTCGGCGATTTGCCGACATCGGCATTTGATTTAAGGTGTAAATAGATTGTAATGAGCTGCAGTGCAGGGGGAAAGTCTAAAGTGATTGACTGGAAACGTACTGAAACGTGTCTTACTCATGGCTTATTGAATTATCTGAATAGCTGAGGAGATCCAGAAAAAATGGTGGTTAGAATAGAATTCATTTTTACTCATTATTATTATTAATTAAAATTAATAATATAATATAAATAATTATTAGATAAAAAGATAAGCTAAAGACAAGTTTTCATTGAAACTAGACAGACAGGTCAGATGTTGTAGCTATATTTATGATAGGAGACACTCCATAAATCAGCTTGAATATGTTAATCAATTTACCCATGCAAAACTAATCAAATTTCTACAAACTATTTTTAAATAAATATTTTAAAACAAGTAGGCCGAGTATGTACTATTTGATATACTCGAAATTTGGTAACTAAAATCAGTCTTCGCTACGAGCTGCTCAAGGCAACATCTAAATTTTATTCGGACACATTTCAATTATATTAAAAAGTGAAACAAAAGTGTCAAGTAAAAAAAAAAATATTATTTTATAGCTTAAAAATTAAAATGTAGAGTTACCAACAAACTAAACAAAGTGCAACTAAAACTAAAAATTGCCATCAATTGAGAAAATTATTTTTTTTTTACGAGAGAGATAGAAATGTTTTAAGCACGAGTTTTAGTTTTGAACTGAAATCTAGTAACGGTACGTTCCCATCGCTGAAGTTCTTGGCGGTGCAAAGGCAATACCCAATACCTCTGCCCTCCAGATGCAGCTGCCGCCATCGAAACATAAGATTATTTCCTATAGTATGGGACAATCAGGTACCACGAATTTCTCATAGATTTTGAAGAACCAAGCTCTGAGGAAATCCAGGAATATTCTGCAGTAAGAGCTGCATTCTGTGCTTGTTCTGTGGCTAAAATCGAAGGCGTTGCCAGGCCAATGATCGCTTGAACGACTGAACAGTGCTCAAATTTTGGGAAGAGATCCAGAAGCAATAATCAGGAAAACGATGAACCAAATGAACCCAAATGTCGCACATCCGTGACTGATGGATCAACATGCAGCTAGCAGCAGCAGCAGGCTACGCTCACCAGGATGCGAAGGACTCTCTTATGCCGATGACTACTCTGTGGGGTATCTGGTGACCAATTGGGCACTACATACCGATGTTAGTGGTACGTATGGCCAAGGCCCAAAGGCAATACCTAAACCTGTCTAATCAACGCCTCTGGGTACACCTCCCAGCTGTAAACCTTTGCGGAGTCTGCTTCCAACTCTGGCTCAAGTGAAGAATAGGAGTCCCCTCTAATTGGATGCAGCTAACAGGATTCTAACGCGTAAGATGCATCCGTTGCTGTAAATGGTAAGCTATCGTCTAAGTTCTCGGAGGATAGCCAGCCCCTAAGCCTGTCCTTTGCTCTCAGGTGCAGGCAGCAGAACAACGATCGCCAAAGGCGTGCTACCATCCAGCACTTCCAGCAATATTTAAATGCTGTAAATGCAGATACAGGATACTCGTCCAGGGGCATACAAACGCTATCGTATGGTCCGCGTGGCAGCAGCAGCATGTTGGCCCCTTCATTTGGATGGACTGACTGATCAGCGCCACTTGGGTCCAGCTGGTCATTGATTTTCCTGGCGATTGCTTTTGGTTCTCTACATGAAATTTGCGCATTCGTTCACTCGTTCGTTCCCTCGTTGGAATTGCAAGAAGAACTTTGATTTTAGACAAAAATAAATAAAATATACAGTATTTATATCCTACCGCTTTCTGCTGCAGTCCACTCAATATTTACCAGCAGCTTTTTGGTTTGTTGGCATTTCAATAATAATTTCTATTTGTATCCAGTCTAAAGACCACAAAAATGTCACGCAGACAAACAAAACAAAACAGCTGCAAAATCTTTGGTCGAAAAATGTTCAACAGAAATTTGTGTAAACCACAAAAACGTTTATCGGGTAGAGAGGGGCCTTAACGCTGAAATTTATGGCATTTAAAAACCCCTTTCTCCGACGCACTCGGGCTACAAAATTAGATGGCAGAACAGCAGCAGACGAAGAAGACGAACAGAAGTTTTTCTAATAAAAATCACGTAAACTGTCGCCTTAATTTCAAACGAATCGAAACGATTCCACACCGATTCCACACTCCACTCTAAATAATTTCAACTTAGGCACGATTCTGTGCGCCTCTGAACCATAAATAATGGAGGTAGGCCCCCCCAACAACAGCAACAGCAACATCAGCAGCAGCAGTCTATTCTGAGAACCCTTTCGATGGATTGAAAGAAAGGGCCTATCAATTCATGTTTGAGAGGGGCACACATAAAACAGAAACCACAAAGAAATAATCACACAATGGAAATTTATGTAATGCCTTCGCAGAAGCAGCGTCGCAGTGTGTAGTGACAGATCGTGAAGGGATCTCCAAGCATTCTCATCTTGATCCACTGATCACCCTGTGTTGGCTACTGTCTACTCCGTAGACAGACCCGTAGAAATCCAATGCTCAAGTGTAACAAATTTTTAAGTGCTTCTGTTGTTAACACGGTTAATAAATCACACAATTGTCCAAACAGGCGAGTCGCAGAGTGAGTGAGAGGTGGAGGTGTCGAGAGGTGAACATTTAAATTTTTTTATTTTTTTTTTTTGTTTTTTTTTTCTCTAGAAATCTGTGACGCGTCCCTTGCGCTCCCAGTCGCCATAGCGTGTGGGCTCTGGTCCCGCCGGTCCACCGATCTCACCAGTATGCGGATTGGTATTGTTGGGCCACGGCACCAGGGGATCTTTTTCATGTGCCGGATGTGGTGCACCTTTGGGCAGGCACGTCACGGGCGCCTCCGAACGTAGCTTTTCCCGGAACTTTTGATAGCGTTCGCTCAGGTGGGTCTCCTCCAGTTTGGGCTCCTCTTTCTCGACTGCGTTGAGTGATTGCTGCAGATCCTTTTCGTTGAGAATTGGTCGTTGCAGCGCCTCTTCCTTGACTGCTTCTAACGGCTCCATCTCTCCACTGGCTGCTGCCTTCAGCTCCTTGGCCGCCTCGTTCTTGGTTTCGCTTTGGGAAGTGACACTCAAGCGACGTCGACTCAAGAGTTGAGCGTAAAGAGCACGGCCTAAGCGTAGCATTCTGTAATTTAGTTTCCTTGATTTTTTAACAGAAATATTTTTGGAATTTTTCTGAAAGACAACCGAATTGTTGTTGGGTTAAGGGTTTTTTGACAGAAATTAATTTGCAATGATATCTTGATGTGAATAAATTTAAAACATTAAATTTACTAAAAAAAAAAAAATTGTAAGAAAGAAAATTAAAATGCACCGAAAAGGTAATCCAAAAAGGATTCTACCCTCGATGGACTGCTCCGACACAGTTCTCAATGGGCATACAAAATTAAAAAATATTTATCAAAATTCTTTCCAATTTTTTTTATTAATATTATTTAAATCTTAGTTTTCCACAGTTCTCAATGGGCATACAAAAAAAAAATATTTATCAAAAATTAAAAAAAAAAATAATTTTAAAATAATATTATTTTTCTTTTAAATCTTTCCCAGTTTTCGCAATGGAAAACAACAATTACAAATTATATGCCAAGCAATAAAAAGATCAGTGATCATTGGGGTAAGTCCAGACAGATTTCATTTGTACAAGAAATAAAATAAATGCAATTATAATTACTACCAGCAATTTAAATGCCAATTAGTACACTTTACTGCGAAACTAATGACCAGCCCATTTGAAAGAGATCGCTCCCAAAGGGGTATATCAAATGTGTAAAGATCCTTCCTAATACCTGTCTCATTTCACAATGCATTAGATCCAGTTGAGTGGATCCACTGACACGATACGAGTATGCCAGTATATGTACAGTATACAAACATCTCGTGTCCAAACACAATTTGACATGGCTCTGGGCTCTGACAGCGCGCAGATCAAATGTCTGTCTTTAGCGGTAGGATGGGGTAGGGAGGGAGAGGAAACCCAAACCCAACTCGAATGGGCACTTCCAAAAGCCGTTGAAGCAGTGCCAAACCAGACTCGACTCTCTGACTGACTGACTGACTGACAAGAGTGACAGAGTCTAATGACTTTGAAGCAGCAGCAACAGCAGCAACAGGAGCAGGAGCAGCAACAGCAGCTGCGATAGAGATAAACTTCCGGAAACGAGTAGCCTGTCTGTGGCAGTTAGAGTCAAGTCAAGTCTTCGGGGCCTGCTGCTGCTGTCAAGTGTGTGGCAGCGGGTCTCGGGTTACCCCCGTCCTCGGCTGCTTGCTCTCTCTCCTTTCATTAGCAATTAAAAGCCAGAGTCTGCGCACAGATCTCTCTCGCTCACTCTCTCTCTCTCTGCTCTGCTCTGCTCTGATCGTGTCATTCAAACATGAGTTGATTTCGCGCCCCAGACACCTACTCTCGTACCGCCTCGACGTGCTTCGTGCATCGGTGCATCGGTTCAACTTCAAAGCATTTTAAATATGGCTTGTGCAGAGAGAATCATCATCAGCAGCAGCAGCAGCAGCGGACATTCTTCAGAAGATCCCCTTGTCACTGGGGGTTTCTTTTTTGTTTTTTTTTTTGCTGCAAAATTTGTTCTGCTATCCAAACATCCCACTCGGAAATCGACTGTGGCTGTAGCTGTGAGCTTGGGCTACTCCACATTCAAAGTGCCGGCTGTCAGTGGGAGATTTGCCTTGCATTCATTCCACTTCATTCCATTCCAGACCATTCCATGCCATACCCCCAAAACGTTGCGGTTGGTTGGACTTGCCGATTCCCGCTCTTAATTCGCTCTCCTCTCTCTCTCTACTCTCTGTCTCTACTCTCTGTCGCTGTCTTTATCTGTCAGTCGTCGGGGTTCTCTTGGGGTTCGCTCTGTTTTGCGCGCGCGGAATTGAAATTGTTGCCTTAACGTCGGCATGACAATAATCTCGCAAATCTGTTTAAATTAAGCGAGACAAATGTTCCATTCTGGCTCCACGGACTCCAGTATGTGGCCCAAGGCAACCGCCAGACAATCAGACCTCAGAGCTGGTCCCCAGTCCCTGCGGTTGCAGGTTCCAGGCCAGCTCCTTCTCCTTCTACTGCTCCACCTCACATCACACACATCTGCTGGCCTCGTTATTGGAGGACACAGCGCTGGTCTGCCATCTTCATATGGATTTATCTGCGGTAAAGTTTTGCTTTATTACCAGAAGAAACAAGTTATGGTAGAAAATTGTATGATATATGTATATGTTTATGGGGCTTAAAGCAGAGTTATCATTAAATCAATTTTTATTGTATTTTCTAGAATTATTTTGTAGAATTTTCTTGAAGTTTATTTGATGGAATATTATTTGTATAATTTATTTATGATATATTTTGCATAAATAAATCTTTAAAGCACATCCCAAAAAGTTATTTTTAGGCTTCCTCTGTTTCTGTTCAAATTCCTTTCCTTGTTCGCCTTTTACTTGCATTAAAATTACACAATTTATTGCCTTATCAATCTACAAATCTGAAATGTAACTCAGCCTTACAATTTCCGATTCCTTAAAATACCAAAAATAAACGATAATTAAATCGTATACAAAATATTCACATTAAAATGAAAAAGGTTTTAAAGCGAGCTACATTAAATCAATTTTTATTTTATTTTCTAGAATTATTTTGTAGAATTTTCTTTAAGTTTATTTGATGGAATATTATTTGTTATGCCATAAAATATATTTATGATATATTTTCCATAATGAAAGCACATCCCAAAAATTTTAGGCTTCCTCCGTTTCTGTTCAAATTCCTTTCCTTGTTCGCCTTTTACCTGCATTAAAATTACACAATTTATTGCCTTATCAATCTACAAATCTGAAATGTAACTCAGTTAAAATTTCAGTTTCCTTAAAATACCAAAAATAAACGATAATTAAATCGTATAAAAAATATGCACATTAAAATGCAAAAAACAAATACATATCGCATGTACCTACATTTTTCTGTGTGTTTGAATGTCTTTGATCAGCCGTCAAGTGGTTTTGATCGATTTACACAATAATAAAAATCCACCGACAACTTGTCTATAATCAAAATCTCCCTTTCCCTCTCTCTCTCTGCTCTAGTTGCTGCTGTTTTTGTGGTTCTGTGGGCATCAATCACAATGAAAAGTTTTTTGGCCCCTCCCCCCTGGCCCGATCAGTGATCTGGCATTTCAGATCGGTTCGCGCCCACCCATAAATTTTGTTTGATCCTTCTTTGCTGTGTGTGTGTGTGTTTTACGGAAGAATCGAACATTTTCACACAGTAATAAAAATCTCAAACATGTTTGTAAAGTTGTTAGTGCTGCTGCCTGGCCTGGGCCTGGGCCTGGGCCAGTGCCTTTTTTTGGTTGATTGTAGGCGGTAGCAGAACATATAAATTAACATTTTGACTGCCAACTGGCGCGGCAAATGATCAAAGACCTGTGCCACACTGTGCCGTCATCGTTCCGTTGATCATCGTCATCGTCATCTTCATCTTCATCGGGCGGGGGGCATACAGAGAGGGAAAAACACACACAGGCAACAGGAGGGGAAACAGCGGCAACAGCGGCAACATAGCGCGAACATCATTCCACGTTTACGATCCATCAACACGAGCCATCAAATTGTATACAAACAAACGCAACAAAGATCAAAAGCCATGTTACCTCCACACACAGACACAGACACACAGAATCTGTGCCGATGCCGATGCCTTTGCCTCAGCCTCTGCCTCAGCCCCTGCCTCGTTTTGATTTTCTTTCTTTTTTCTTGTTAGGTGTGTGTACCCTTTTGAGAGGATAGAGTATTGTGATATTAATTAGATGTTTAAATCGCAAGAAAATAGAGAAGAAAAATGTCTTTATTTCTAGTGGCTGTGAGAATGAAGATATAAATATATTTTTACTATATTTATTTTTATTATTTACTATATTTATATAAATATTTATATATATTTATATAATTTAATATATTTTATATATTTATATATTTTTATATATTTACTATATACTACTATACTATTCTATATATATAAATATTATATATATTTCTTTTCTTGGTTACAAGTCGTTTCTCTAAACTTAATATATATATATTTTTTTTTTAGTTATATTTTTATTCAAGGTATTTCAGGTATTTCTAGCCATTTATTTATTAATCCTTCTTCTGTATCCGAACCTTAAAAACTATCTCTAAATATAATCCCAAACGTATGACTCAAAAATGTATGTATAGCACCCATTAAAAGGCTGTATTGTTGAGGGTATCTAATGCTTCTACTTTTAATTTTTGTTCCTTGCTTCAAATTCATTAAAAGATCTGGTGGTTGCTGTGGTTCAGTCGCCTTTCAGCAGACCGACCAGCCTGCTGCAACCCGCGAGAAAGAGAGGAACGACAGGGAAATGCTGCACAAATTTCGAATCTCTTTTGCTCCCACATTTTGATCACTCCTCCAACAGATCTCTTACTCTTACTATACGCATGCTCTCACCTAATTATGTGCCGCGACGAGCGAGTTGTGGGGGGAGCTATAATACCCATTTCTCATTTCTCATTTCTGATTTCTGTTTCATTGTGCGTGTGCGTGTGTGGGAGAAACCAAACGAACGAGTATATGTAGGAGAGGAGTATTGCTTCTTGCCGCTTGGCAGATCATCATAATGATAATAATACAGATGCTAACGATGATTATGATGATGGGTTTCGTGTGGGTGGACTGGGAATTCATATACATATATTCATATTCATAGGGGGAAATACGGGGAGGGGAGATGGCGCTAATAAATGAGGCAACGATTGAATTCGTTTTAGAGGTGAATGTTTTGAAAGATTTATTTTGGAATGAAATATTAAACGGAATTTATCAAACAGGAAAGAAGAAAAAATGAATATTAAATATTAAACATTAATTAAAATTTAAATATGAGTAAATAAGTAGAAAATAAATACCACACATATACAATAACCAAAAATGACATATTAGGAAATAATATTATAGCTTAAAATATGAAGATCTATTTACTGAACTATTTTTAATTTAATTCGGAAAAAAAAAAAATAGATATATATATATATATTCATTCATGATATTACGAGAACTCTATTTAAAGAAAGCCTGATTAAATCCCATAATAATGATTCTCAGAGTTAAAACTTGCATAAACTTTTCCGATTAACAACCATAAATCGTAGCAAATCAAACGAATTAAACTAGTTTCAAGCAACCCCCTG